GACATCTGTTGTTTAATATTGTTATAGCAGCATTTTAGCAGTTGTCAGTTATACCTTTAATGACAACAGTCCATGTTTTCTGCTTTGTGCTGTGGAGATAGATGCTTTCTGCAAGTGCAGTGAGATTGCAAGGTTTTTGCTTCTAAATATATTACATGAATGATAGATGTCAGGCAAGTGCCATGCCCTCTCAGATATAAACTGGCTAGCACTTGTATATTTATTACTCTCTAATATTTTGTTTGTACATAGATTTGATTGATGTCCTGTTGTCAGCCAGGCATGAACACCTCTCCTTTGAATTTGGAACCAAAGTTCTGAAGTTTTTCAATAAGCTGTTTCAGCTTGGTAAGTAGCATTACTGTAAGGCTGACTAACAGTAGCATTATTATTGTAATATTATTACCAGACAACTAAGATTATTATTGTAATACAGTATTATTGTAATATTTCATTAAAATGTTTGTTTTCGGGAGAAAAAATTTAAAAAAAGAAATCTTCTGTCATGTATTAACTATACACATTCAAAGTAGTCACATTATGTTCCCTGAATGAATGTATTATGATAACAGTGAAAATTTGTAATTTTCTGTTATAATTTACATATATATTTAATTCTTATATTTTATTATTTTAAGGGGTAGTTGACTCATCTGAGTTATAGCAATGTACTTTGCATAAGCTACCCCTGTCCAACATTTCGGTTTTTGTTTTTCTCACATATTGTATTTTATTGTCACTGTTTTTGTAAATGTTGGTCAAATAAATAAATGAAATACATTAATAGCAAAAATGTTTAACTATTTGTTTGCTTATTTGAAAGTATGCTAATATTATTTGTATTACATTTCTTTTATGTTATTACTGTTTTTTTATGTTATTTATCGTACAGTAGTTAAACTTCCTGTTAGTGCAGTGGATTGTTCCACTTTTGCAATGTTATATTGTTGAGACCCTCTAGTGCATGATCACTTTGTATTTTATTTTATTTACTGTTAGTGATACCAAATGAAATACATTTAAAAAATCAATTGTATGCTCTATTCTCATTGCAATCTACAGCTGATAAGCCTCCACCTGACAGCAGTCTAAATAGGCTCTGCTCCTTTCTGTCCTCCCTCTCTCAGCCTGCCTACCTGCAAGCGGTACAGACATGGCTACGCAAGGCCATCCAAGGAGATGCGACGGACAAGATACAAGAGAACAGGCAACTGCTCCAATGCTTCGCCTCATATATTGTCAAAGAGACCAGGTGAGAGCAGTACAATTGATGTAAATAAAATGTTGTCAGTAAATAAGATGATTAAATATGTGAATGATAAAATGATTGATGCATTGATTAGCTGATTGATTGATTGACTGACTGATTAATTGATTGATCCATCCTTTAAGTGGAAAACAAAGTATATTTTCGATTAGCAATAACAGATGCTTTGTGTATCAACACTCTTGTGTACTAAATCGTACACTGTTATGTCAACAGTCCTGTTGGAGAGAGTGTGGCAACCAGCCTTCTTGAGGCTCTGATCCCAATGGCTACAGATCAGCTTTCTGGCAATGGAGAGCCAGCTGGGTTCTCAGAGTTAATGGTTGTAATGATCACGCTAGCTGGAGCAGGCTCAGGCAGAGGTTACATTTCTCTCTTTAAAGCTTCTCTTAGTTGGTTGCAGCAATGGTAAGTTGTCTTTTTATTATTATAGTTAACCTTAAATGCTTAATAATGTATATCCTAATTATTTTTAATATTTTAATTTATTTCATTAATTTATCAACTTTCACATCATATTATCATCATCATCATGTGCCATCTTCGATACAAAGGTTGGCCACCATGTCTCTCCATCTAATACGATTTTCCGCTGTTCTCTTTGCCTCCATGTAAGAAGTTGTGGAGCACCGTCTCTTGATGTCATCAGCATTATCATTATTATCATCATATTATCTTATATTCATCATCACCTTCATGTATACTGTGTTTAAGTATTGATTTATCAAATTGATCTTTACCCTTTACAGTAAGAAGTATCTTGATAATAAAGATGTTATTGAAAAGATGAATGCTGACATAACAGAAACAAAGGTAACAGTCAAGGGGCACATTTGCACAAAGAGTATAGTTACACCCAGATTTAGTCCCAGTACAATTGTTTTAAAAGTTTTATGTAAATCACCTCACACAATATTAGAATCAAGGTGGTTGTTATAAATGTAACAGAAATAATGCTGCTTATATTTGATACACACAAAACAAATCAATATTAATGTTTTTTCATTTGTGATCTTATTGTTGTGCTTTACACATTCTTTGTATCAGCTCTCCAGCCTAATGGAAGCAGCAAACAGTATACTTCAACACATCGCTAACACTCTTGGTGCTCTCAAACAGACCTCAGACAGGTATGAAAAATAATAGTTTAATTTTTCATTTACATCATACCATGAAATGAATAGTGGCTGAAGCATAGAAATGAACTATCTTCCATGCATTTCAGTAAACATAAGTATTCATTAACAAAGTAATACCCGTTACACTACCAATGTCAGAATAAACCCTTGATTATTCTGGAGTGATCCCAGGTGCATTTCCCATTTACATCGAACGAAATAGTCTGGGTTGATCCCGAGTTGCACCCATTTTATACGAATGTGGGTTGAAATACCGCCCTCAATTTCTGTTACGATGGTGATCATCACTTCGCCCGAGTTGCTCGCATAATGATGGACCCCAATTATTGCCAATATTTAAGCAATTATATATTGTCAAATTTTTTTTTTATAATCCTGAATCGAATTCGGTGTGCGCACGGGTTGTCCAATGCTAAATGCGTCCCGCACATTGATCCTTGAATGTTTGGCAATCCGAGTCATACATTTTGACGTTTACACCAACCACAACTGGGGAGTTTCTAGCCAAGGTATTGGAAAATCCCAGGTTATGTCCAGAGTTTTGCTTGCAGTGTAAAAGGGGTATAAATTTATTCCTTTTCTCAGGACATCTTCTCTTCCGTTTGAAACGGAATCCAGTGCACAGGAAGTGGACTCTGATTGGGCAGAGGATCTCGTTCCCGAAGATGATGATTCAGGCGGAGAAGACTCGGTAAAAAAAATCAAGTTTCATGAAATAACAAGAAATTTATTTATAATTCATAAATCCTTTCTTTCACAAGCTGTATTTATGAATAACTTCTTCACAGAAAAAACTAAATCAAAAAGACAATTCACCTGCACTAAAACATAACAGATACACAGCAAGACATCTGTACTATGAGAATTTTCATTCCATTCATCAGCAAACCTATTCTGATGCCATAATTAATGTGCTGAAATATGTAATGTCATAATACTTGTCTAAATCAATCAATGTTTTTTTCTTTCTGGTAACTATTTTAGGATGAAGACTCACTTTGTAACAAACTTTGTACATTTACTATCACGCAGAAGGAGTTCATGAATCAACATTGGTACGTTGCTATAAGAAGGATCGTAGTCAGAGCATCAGCTGTATTTCTTATCATTGTGGTGTTTGTTTTATATAAGAGTATATAGGTTTAAAAAAATACATCTTATTTTGAACAGTTTTAAAGATGTTTGATTTCCATATCTTTATTGTTTTGCTTTCATCTAATTTAGGTACCACTGTCATACTTGCAAAATGGTTGATGGAGTAGGGGTTTGCACCATCTGTGCCAAAGTCTGCCATAAAGGTCATGACCTCTCATATGCCAAATATGGAAGTTTCTTTTGTGACTGTGGAGCCAAAGAAGATGGTAGTTGCCAGGTAATTGAAAGAATTCTGCCTAGTAATATTCTCCATTTACAATTATATTTGGACAATTATGCGTTGTCTGTATATGATAAGCCTGTCAGTGGAGCTTAGTTTCTGCATGGAGGTATAATTGTATGGATTGATGATGTCCCATATGTGCTTGATCGAATGATGGGGTAATAATGAGAAACTCTTGGAGGCCTTGTTAATATGAAGTGCTATATAAGCCTGTCAGTGGAGCTTAGTTTCTGCATGGAGGTATAATTGTATGGATTGATGATGTTCCATATGCGCTTGATCGAATGATGGGGTAATAATGAGAAACTCTTGGAGGCCTTGTTAATATGAAGTGCTATATAAATCTAACATTTTTAGCTCCGATGAGGAGCTCTAGAAACACTTGGCTGATTGATTAACAGATCTGTTTTAGATCTACTGCCTCTATTATACTGCCCTCATGAGGCTGATTGATTAAAAGTTGATTGATTAATAGATATTTTTCAGCTATACTGCCTCTATTATACTGCCCTCATCGGAGCTTTCAAGATTACGAGAATTTGTTTTTTATTATTATTATATTATTATATATTTATTATTCAGGCTTTGGTAAAGAGAACACCAGGTAGTGGCCTAGATTCATTGATGAGTGCTAGTTGCATGGCCTCGCCGTTTGCTCTTGAGAAGGGTAGCTCTGACATGATTTTTTATTATTATTATATTATTATATATTTATTATTCAGGCTTTGGTAAAGAGAACACCAGGTAGTGGCCTAGATTCATCGATGAGTGCTAGTTGCATGGCCTCGCCGTTTGCTCTTGAGAAGAGTAGCTCTGACATGATTCAACAGCAGACAGTACATACAGTATCAGAGCGTGTGATGCTACATAGCAACACAGACAGCGACATGAAAGCCTTCAATGAGAAAATAAAATTCTACCAGTCGCTAGGACAGCAGATCAAGGACATACGGGAAGACATAGTGCAATGCTTGGTAAATACTTACACTATTCATACCCATTTTCATTAGGAATGCTTTATTACTAAAAAACATAATATACAAATATGTGAGTACTAGAATTTATATTTTTAAGAAAGAGGAGAGTTTGTTGGAAAAGGAGGTTCTACCACCTTGTAATTGAAGAAAGAAGACAAAAACTTGTTCAAACAGTACTTGAGTTAGATATTAGTAATATTTGAAGATATTCATAACAAAGTTAATAAATAACTGTTAACAAATATGCATATTGTTTGTATAACATTGCAGGAGAACTCATCCAGTGCTAATCTAGTGCTAGAACTTCTTCAGTTGTTACGCAATCCTATCGCCAAACACAGCCTGAAAACATCAGCGATTGGCGCCACCAAGAGAGCACAGAATGCATTGAAAGAACTTGCCAGTGCACACAAAACAGTAGAACACACAGATCATCTTATGGTGAGTATATCAACTGTTTCCTTTTATCCCACTTCCACTGTGTGCTTTTCTCTAAGTTACCATTGAAGGGTATTTTTCTTTGCAACAATAGAGGTACTATGCTTTAACTTCCTATCAATTTTGTAGAATGGCAAAATATTTTAATATCCACTTAACAAACAAATCTATAAGAGTACTCAGTTCTAAAATTATCATAGTTCTTTATTGTGTGTCATATTCAAACACAAAAGTATATTTTAGTGGAAACATTAATAAATACAGTGATTGAATATATTTTATATTCAGATTATTGTATTTCAAAACCCAAAAATATCAATGATTTAGTTCTGATTTTCTGATTTTTTAGATGCCAACACTTGGCTCTCAGGAAGGTGCATTTGAAAACGTACGTATGAATTATTCTGGCGACCAGGGTCAAACAATCCGCCAGCTAATCAGTGCCCACATGTTGCGCCGTGTGGCCATGTGCTGTCTGACATCACCACATGGTCGCCGTCAACATTTGGCGGTCAGCCATGAGAAAGGCAAGATTACTGTGCTGCAGCTCTCAGCGCTCCTGAGGCAGGCTGATTCCAGCAAGAAGAAGTTGACACTTACTGTGAGTATCGCAATGTTAATTATACCAACATTGTAGTTACTTTGTTGTTGCATGCTTTTGGTGTACTATCATCATTCTGATCGAGATGAAATTGATGCAAACATGATGAACATGCAGCCCTAATATGTGATTTGTCACCACACAATATGTCACAAAAAAGAGTTTATATTGCATAATAAGATTTAATTTGTTCTTTAGATGATTTCTCTAATATAAATAGTTACAGCGTTGTAAGCATTAGACGGTTAATGTATGGGAACCTGGCTGAGAAAATCAGTTAAACTACATGAATTAACCTGTAGAAATAATAAGACTGGAAGTACAAACTTTGCAAGAGTACTTCTATACATTAGTAAGAAATTTGAATTTAATTAAACTATCATAAAATATAAGTACAGTATCAATGTATTGAAATATGTTTTTTTTAAATATAACTTTGACCTAAGTTAGTGATTTATTGGAAACAAAAGAAATTATATTTAATATTAAAAAAATGAAGCAATAATTGAGTCACGTTTTGTTTTTGTTTGATTTCAGAGACTTTCATCAGCTCCAGTTCCATTCACAGTACTCAGTATTACTGGCAACCCATGCAATGAAGACTTCCTTGCAGTCTGCGGTCTCAAGGTAACAATTACAATGCAAATTTTCTTGCTGTAAATCATTGGAAACTGCCCCTTTTTCAACTTGTGACTTTGTGAAAGTTGTTAACTTAATGGTTCTTTAAGGATCATTTTAAAATGTCATTTTCTTTATTTTCTTTATTTTATTGGGTAGCATTAAATTTTTAAGTGGGTTTTAATGAGTGTCTCCCAACTTTCCATACTATTATTTTGATTTGTACAATTTATTTGGTAATACCTTTGTTGTAGAATCAAATAAATTGAAAACTTAGTTTTGAGTTTGTTTTTTTGCTACACTAAGTTGGTTGTCATAATTCACAAATTGTTACTACTTCTTCTTTACTTTAGGATTGCCATGTCCTCACCTTCACCAGCTCCGGTAGCGTTGCTGACCACTTAGTCCTGCAGCCTCAGTTAGAGTCTGGCAACTTTATTATCAAAGCCATTTGGTTGCCAGGTTCACAGACTGAGCTCGCCATTGTGACCGCTGACTTTGTCAAGGTATGTCTGTCTTTTAAAATGCAATTAATAACAATTTGTGTTTACTTGAACCTGCACTAAATACTTGGTGTCATTGAAAACACTTGAGAAGAAATAAAAATGAACAATATGAATATTAATTAATGATTGAGAAATTTGAGAAGGTAGTTGCCATGACAATTTTATCAACATCCTTCAAAACATTTGCTTTTAGTTGCCATGATAATTTTATCAACATCCTTCAAAACATTTGCTTTCATAGATCTATGACCTTTCCAAGGATGCTACCAACCCATGTTACTGTTTTCTGCTACCAAGTGGTAAAGTGCGTGATGCTACATTTGTTTTCACTGAGGAGTCGCGTACCATGGTGCTGATGTCGTCAGCTGGCCACCTCTACGCACAACCAATGGAGGAGATAAGCTCTGCAACCCATGGCCCATTCTTTGTAACAAATGTTATGGTTGTGGCCCATGAGGATGTAAAGGTATGTCAAAATAATATTGATAAATAGTAAACTATAGTCACAAATTTTAATTGATTGAAATATGTAAATTTTATTTTGTGAAGTGTTCCCACAAAACCCAAGATCACAAGTGGATATTTTGAGTAAAGCAATAAATAAGTTGCAAGGTGTGAAGTTAAATATGTTGAGAGTAAGATGTTCAATAACTATCAGTCTATTGTCTGACAAAATTTAGAAACTACAAATGATTTGGTTACATTCTTTATTTCTGTATGTTTTATGTTTTACTTTGTAAATAAGTGCATTTTGTACACAGTGTGTGCAGTGTTGCGTAATCTGTGTAAACTACGGACATAGATAGTATCAGAAGAAGATTAGTAGTGAGTTTCAACACTGAGTATGTTTAAGATTGACTCTGGAACACTCCTACACACCCAAACACAAATTGACATGCTAGGTCTATTGAAATGTGTAGTAGTCAAGACCTTATTCAACTGGTTCATTTCGTTGACTACGATATTTTGTTGAGTATTATTTTCCTTGGTTCGTAAAATAGACTTTGTTAATGAAAATTAACGTAAACTAGAGTGCATTAATCAGCATTAAGTTATCCATGTGACTAAAACAAACATGGCCCATTGGTAAGTTTAGAAACAACATTTGCAAAAATATAACTTAGATTAAATTTCAGAAAATAAAAATTATAATATTACCCACATAAAGTCAAAAAATAATTGTAGGCTAACAAAATTCAAAAACTGAATAAAAAATTTGTTTACAAAAAACCCATACTGCCACAAGCCGAAGTAATTTTGATTACGCAGCGTGTATCGCGGTAACTATGCAGCCATTTTGTTTTGTCAAGTATTTGCAAGTTTTCTAATTGACTGGTCGTCTTCGTTAAGTAGGATTTCACCACTGCGCAGGTGGGCATGGTTTAACGAAGAGCAACCAGTCGAATACACTAGCCATTGTGTTATAATTTTTCTCCCCTTTTTCTAGGAGACTAATGGGAATACATTTGGTGGTGGTGTGTCCTGCTATTATTCGCATACTCTGCAGCTCTTATTCTTTAGCTATTCGCAAGGCAAGAACTTTATCGCAGCCATCAGCAAGGATTTCAGCCAGATTACAACTCCATTTGCAGTCACATTGAAAAGGTAAGCTTATATTCAAGATTGTGCTTGGTATTGTGAAGTCATAACTGTATAAGAGCCCTACTATCAAAGTTATATTTTATGTGGTCTTATATAACATTGCAATTATTACCTGTTTTTTGTTCTTTATGAATATTGTATATATTTATTTTTATTTTGTAGGCCAATATTTAATTTATAGTGAAGTATAATCAAATTCTTAGTCTATTATATTATTTTTTACTTTCATGGTTTATGAATTGTTATCTTCTTTTTCACAGTAATGGTGGTAATAAGTCCAACCCTCCAGCCTTGTGTCAGTGGAGTGAGGTGGTCAACCATCCTGGTCTTGTATGTGCTCTTACGCAGACCTCTAGCATCCCAGTCATCCTGATGGTCGAACCAGAACGTGTCATGGTCCAAGAGGTCAAGGCACTTCCAGCAAAAGCAAAGGTATGTTTTCTCGTTTAATGATAATCATTTGATTAGTATAAGCTTTCTTTCTTGCCTGTACTACATATTTAGATATTTATTATGTTTAGGTTGATAAGCTGTCTCTTATACACATCTAGATGTGTATAAGAGACAGGTATCAATGTACAGTATCAATGTATTGAAATA